GTCTGCCATCTCTGCTCTAATTTAGACTTCCTAGAACTGTAGCAAAGACACCTCTCCCCTCAAAAAAAAAGAGAGACCAGGTATGAGACATCACAGAAAAAAACAAAAACAAAAAAACAGGAAAAAAGTATGTTTGTTCTCTGAGTCTTAAAAGTAATGCACCTATATTTAGAAGTGAAACAGTAAAAGAAGAAACTTCCTTAGGTTTTTAGGCTTAGAATTCACTATTTAGAGAAGTCCATTGTGCTCTGAGAGGCTACCCCGTGACACTCTGCAATAATTATTCTTAGTTTCTTGCTGCAAGTCTCAAGTTCAGTGATTATCAAATATTTCCTAATGGAACTCTTTGTTGATTGGCTTTACTAGTTCCTAGTTTTTTAGCTGTTGCAAGCAGTGTTGAAACAAACATCTTTGTACTTAAGGTGTGTGTTTTTGCAATAAATCTTTAATGTTAAGCCACAGACTTTGTTTACTGAATTTTGTTATTGTAGTATAACACATGCAGAAAAGTATACCAATCATACCTCAATAAATGGTCACAAAATGAACACATCCTCATAATCACTACACATACCAAGCCATGAAAATTGCCAGCACCCTGGAAGCCTCTTTTAGCTCCTCTCTCAATTACTACTACCTCTCTCCTCCCCAGAATAAGCAGTATCCTGATTTCTAACATAGATTTATTTATTTTGCCTACTTATGACCTTTACATTTTTTAAATGGAGACATATAGTAGTATCTATATATAAGGGTCTGTTTCTGGATTCTTCATTCTTCAATGAATATTCTTTAATATATTCATTAATATATTTGTCTTTTCTTGTGCCAAAACCATATGCTATAGCTTAATTATGGCTATATTAGCTTAGCTTATATTTGTAACCATATAATATAGATTAATTGTAGCTATATGATAATTTCTTGATATATGATAGAATAAGTTCTCCCACTTTGTTCTTCTTAAGACTGCCTTGCCTATTCTTGGCCCTATGTTTTTCTATATAACTTTTACAATCAGCTTGAAATGTCCCCTTTCCCCTCCAAAAAGAAAAGCATTGGGAAAAGAATTTTGATTGGGAATCCTTTGAGGAGAATGGCACTTTTACTATACTGAATCTTCTGTCCCTGAAAGTGGTATGTCTCACTATTTATTTGGATCTTGAATTTCTCTCAGTAATGTTTTATAGTTTTCTGTGTTAAGGTATCGCACATCTTGTATTAGGTTTATTTTTAGATATTTGGTGGGGTTTTTGATATAATAAACAGTATTTTAAATTTTTTTCTAATTGTTGGTGTTACAAACTTTTATATATTGAGAAGAGTAAGTTTTTAATTATAAGATTTTGTGAGATTAAGGTATATACCATTTTAAGATTCATCTAATATTGAAGTCATCATAGGGATATTAGATCAATGAAGAAAAACAAAGTTGGACTAAATCTGGGGTTGTAACCTTGGAGAACTCAAAGAGCAGCTCAGAGGAACATGTTCCTCAACTGTGTGAGTTCTGTGTTGGTTGCTTGAGAGAGATTGCCTAGGGCTTGCTTTTTCTTTCAGCTAACATGATTGCAATTTGGAATGTAAGAATGCTTTTTTTCTCCTTCAGATATCCTGAGCCCCCTCCTAGGCAGCCCACATTTGTGAGCACTCAGGCAAATGCGGAGCAGGAGGAAATCAGAGGAAAAGGGATTTCATTGTCTTGCCACCCTGGTTGCTCTTGAACTGACAAGCTTCTCAGTCGTTCTAAACGCACCAAGAATGGAGCCACAAACCCATCCACTCTCCAGCATTGCAGATATCCAGAAATGATGATGGCAGTAGCTATTTCCTTAAATTCACACCTACTTTGTTTTTCCAGGTCTATAAAGGAGAATTTCAACTACCCGACTTTCTTAAGGAAAAACCCCAGGTACTGTACCTGCTTCCTCTTCTTGATGATAGGTCGGCTTTTGAATTGAAGTAATCTTTTTAAAGAGACAGTGAAATTAAAAGCAGAAACAAGAAAACAGTGAAAAGTAGAAAATGTGCTGGTAGAAGAAAGATTGGCCTCTGGTACTTGTTGTTTTTAACAATGATTTAACACAGTCCTAATTTCAGAGAGCTCAGTGTCTTCCAAAACAAGGGGTAATAGGGATAATACTTTATTGATAACTAAAATCTGATTGCTTAGTTTACACACAAGCCACATAGTATTCCACATTTAAGGAGTGTGTCTTGGTGAATCCGGTCCAGCCTTGTGATACCTAATTTAAATTAAAAATGTATCGTCAGTCTTTCTGTTCTTATTACATATATCATCATGTACACAGTCACTGGCCCTTGGGAAGGCTGGTGAGAGATTGAACTTATAACTTTATTCTTTTAAAAAACGAATTCAAACAGATCCAGAGTATCCAGTAATGTCACACTCGCTTACTTGCATTCCAATATTGTTTCTTGAGTTGGAGAGAAACAGAGATTTCTCATCATTGGCATGCCTGGAGTAGCTCGAGGAATGCCCTGCATCTGAGCTTCATCTCTCATCTACAGAGTCAGAAAACATGGATAACCACTGCTTGAGCGCAGCAGACTTGTCTCTCCCCGCCCACCCCCACCCCCACCCCAGGCTGGAGTGCAGTGGCACACTCACGGCCACGTCAGCCTCTACCAGCTGGGCTCAGGCAATTCTTCTGCCTCAGCCTTCCAAGAAGCTGGAGCCACAGGCACACGCCACCGCACTTTTTTGATTTATTGTAGAGACGAGGTCTCGCCAAGTTGCCCAGGCTGGTCTCAAATCCCTGGGCTCAGGCAACCCTCTTGCCTCTGTCTCCCAGAGTGCTGGGATTACAGGCGTGAGCCATGGCGCCCAGGTTCCCTTTCTAGCATAGTGATAATACATGTTGCCTCCAGGCTACTGCTATCAGTAATTCGTTTGTTAATGGGAAAGAAAGTCGCAGCATTGAACTCAGTTTCTAAAAGTGTCCCAGATGTAGGTTGGTGAGGGCAACTCCACGTCACAGCCTTGTGTGAAGCAATGTTGCCTGAAGCAAGCCTATATTAGATGGGGTGCCCTCTCAATGCTGTGTCTCACACCAGACCTGAAGTGTCTGCCTTCCCTGATCCTTGTTTGATAACAATCAACCGTCAATAATTAATACATATTACTTGAGAATTTCAAAGTACTTTCTTTTTTTTTTGAGTTGGAGTCTCACTCTCTCTCCCAGACTCCCAGGGACCCGGAGCGGCCACTGCAGGCTTGACCTGCTGGGCTCTGGCGATCCTTCCGCCTCAGCCTTCCAAAGTAGCCGGAATTACAGGCATGCACTACCATGCCTGGCTGATTTTTTGATTTATTGTAGAGATGAGGTCTCGCTGCCCAGGTGGGTCTCGAACCCGCGGGCTCAGGCAATCCACTCACCTCAGCCTCCCAAAGGCGTGGGATTACAGGCTGAGCCACCAAGCCCGGCTCAAAGTACTTTCAAAGCATATTCTTATTAGCATATATTTAATATTTGTCTATCCATTTATTTCATTTATTCAACAATTGTTTACTGAATGTCTATTATGGGTAAGAAATTGGAATAAGTCCTCAGGAGTCAGAGAGGTAAAAAAGACCTCAAGGAACTCCTATCTATCCAGAATACTTTGATCAAATCTTGCAGGCAAGGAGCTGCAGGGCTCTGGAGATAGCCTGGGTTTGATATCCCAAAAACCTGGGTAGATTTATGCACAGACTTACTCATTTACTGTGGAAATTGAAACCAGAGAATAATAAGAGGCAGTCTTGAAGGAACGTCAAATCCAAAAGCTGATTTGCATAATAAGTCTAAAGGAATCAGGAAAGGGAATTTGAGACTAAAACTAAAGGGATGCCCCTGCTTCACAGCACCCATAAAAATAATTTTCAAGGTGGATTATATACCTAAATCTGAAAGGCAAAATAATGAAATTGTTAGAGGATAAAAGAGTAGAATATCTCCATGACCTTAAGAGAAAATAATTTCTTAAACAAGTCATAAAAAGCACTAATCATGAAATTAAAGATGGATAATTTAGACCACATTGAAATTGAGAATGTTTACTTATTAAAAAATCATCATAAAGAGAGTAAAAATGTAGGCCTAAGTTGGAGAAAATATTTGAAACAAAGGACTTATCTGTAGAATATAGAGACTTCCTACTAATCAATAAGAAAAATGTTTTAAAAATTGAACAAAAGACTTAACAGGCTCTTCAAGCTCCTTACTATGGTTAGTTTCACTTAATGTGTCACACACACACACACACATCTCGAAAAGAGGCCTGTAAAGGACTTTGGTTTAACATCTAATGAATGAGAAACTGAAGTCCACAGAACCCATAGTTTCGGTAATTAGCTAGAATGACTCACAGAATTCAAGAAAGCACTAAACCTAACAATTATAGTTTAATTATAAAGGATAAAAGCAAGAGTCGCCAAATGAAAAGACACACAGTGCTGGGTCTGGGAGGGTCCAGCCTCTGAGCCACTGTGCCCTCTCCCCTTGGAATCAGGGCACTTCATCCTCCTGGCACATCTGTGTGTCTGCCAACCAGGAAGCCCCCCTGAACATCACACCTGGAGTTCTTATTGGGGTTTGATGATATGGGCATGACTGATTAAATTATTGGTTGTGGAAATGAACTCAACTCCCCAGAGTTCAGGCTGGCTGGAAGCCCCAGCCCTCTAATCACACGGTTGGTCTTTGTGGTGACCAGCCCCCATCCTGAGTCATTTCATCTCTTAATGTAAACTTAAGTGTGATCCAAGAGGCTCAGAAATAACAAAATAATTCCTATTATCTCGGAAATTCCATGTATTTAGAGTCTCCCGGAACCAGGGGGGAAAGCCAAGCAAATTATTTATCATACAACAGTAGCAGACTGAGGTCATTTGAAAGTCTGTGAACAGGGTCTAGAAGCTGCCTGTTTCTGTGGGAGCAGTCACTTCTTGTGCCGACCAACTTCAAGGACTTTAAAACATCTTTTGTTTCCTCAACAGACTGAGCAAGTGGAGTAGCAGAACCAAGAACCTCTTTCATATATGAGGTGAGGTTTGGGGGACGTTGCTGGATCTTTGGGATTTCCCACTTAGGCTCTTGCAGGAGGCATTGTGACTGGGGCAGAGGACATCATTCTGGAGTTGGTCTGCCTGGATTGGAATCCTGGCTTTGTCACTTGCTGTATGGCACTGAAAAATTACTTAACCTCTCTGTGTCTTAGTTTCTTCATCTATAAAATGAGGATGATATTAACAAGAGAGTAGTGGTGAGAATGTCATAATAATGGCTACAAAGAGCCTGGCACATAATAAGTGCGCAAATAGTGTTAGTTATTATTTTCATTTTGAGGAGGGGTTTAGAAATTATAAAATGTTCTAGCTGACCATCAAGCCCAACGACCTGTTTGCTGATCAAGAAACTGATCCTAGAGAAAGCAGGTCATGTCACAGAGGGAGAAAAAACCCAGTGAGGGCTTCTTTTCCAGTGAGGGCTTCTTCCACCCACCTCCTGCCCCAGCCTGGCACATAATAAGTGTGCAGATAGTGTTAGTTATTATTTTCATTTGTTAGACTTGCAAGTGATTTTGCACTTCTGTGTATATATTTTTGGTTGGTTGGTTTTCCAATTTAATCCTTGTTCATTTTAATGAATTATGAATGTCTTATGCTTATAACCTACATTGTCTCATGGTAGCTAAGGGCTGCAGTGTGGACGAGGCCAGCCACACTTTGGTTCTAAGCCCCCTCTGTATCTGAGTACACATGCATCATCAGGTACCTGTCCAGGGACATGAGCTCATCAGTGACAAAGCTGGTTTCTGAACCCAGATCTCCTGACACAGCTGCTCAAAGCTCACCCCATTCTCCCAGACTTTCTTAAGACTCTGTTTTGTTCTGGGTGATGTGGTAGTGCCTTTGATTATTTGGTACTTGAACAGCTTTTCTAAAAATCTGATACTGGTTTTTTTTATATACTTTTGCCTGCTGATTTTTATTTTATTTTGACTTTATATAATACTCATGTATTGAGTACATAATCCATACCAGGCATAAAATACCAAGCATGTTATGTATATATAATATATAAAATATATGATAAATAATGATAAATTTTATATATTATTTCATTTAGTTCTCAAACCACTCTGGCAAGCTGGTGGTATTATTTCTTTCTTTTTTTTTTTTTTTTTTGG